AATTATTTCTGAAGAAGAATTCTACCTATGAAAACCAACCTTCTATCTATCAAAACCAACCTTCTTCTTCCTATCAAAACCAACCTTCTTCCTATCACAACCAACCTTCTTCGTATGAAAACCAACCTTCTTTCTATGAAACCCAACCTTCTTCATATCACAACCAACCTTCTTCCTATCACAATGAACCTTCTTCCCATCAAAACCAACCTTTTTATCATCAAAACCAACCATCATTAGACGATTTTCATACACATGGATCATTTACCAACCTCCTTACATCTGGAGTCCAACAAGAAGAACAACAGGAAGGAGTCCCTGAAGTTGGAGTTCCTGAAGAAGAAGTTGGTCCTTTCAGTGAGGGGGAAGATGATGCAAGACTCCAACAAGACGATGAACAAGATGAACAAGATCGTGTTGTACAACAATCTCAGCACGTAAGCACATTCAGTTTTCCTTCACACATGCATAATGTTGATTTGCAAACAGATTTCACCGACCCAGAGTATAGACATGCACTTGACCATGTTGACGTCGAGTACTCTCCTGACAGCCTATTTGAAGGCATGACTTTCAACACAAAGGAGGAAGTCCAACATGTTCTAAATGCATACCATATAAAGAAAGGTTTGTATTACAGGGTCGAGAAATCGTCACCAACGTTAATTGTTGCACGTTGTGTTAACAGTACATGTGATTGGAGGTGCAGAGCGGCTTTTATTACTAAAAGCCAAAAATGGGAGCTTCGTAAGCTATCAGGTGAACATTCTTGTTCATCACCTATTATTACACAAGATCATGTTAACCTTGGCTATGTATATATTAGAAAAAGTATTCTTTCTTTTGTGGAGAGTAATCCATCCATTTCTATTCCAACAATAATAACACACATCAAAAGTGCTAAAGGGGACACGATCTCATGCTGCAAAGCTTGGATGGCAAAGCAAAAGCCAATTGAAGACTTACATGGTAACTGGGAACAATCTTACCGTGATTTACCCAAGTTGCTCAGTGCCATGAGCGGATTTCTTAATGGATTTGTTGTTGAGAAGCAAACAAGGCCACTATACAACCAACAAGGTGAGATGGTTCATCATTATGTTCAATTCCATAGAGTATTTTGGACATTTAAACCTTGTATCGATGGGTTCAAATACTGCAAACCCATTGTTCAAGTTGATGGCACATTCTTGTATGGCAAATACAAAGGAACTCTCCTTGTGGTCGTGGCTCAAGACGGTAACAACAAAATCTTTCCAATTGCCTTTGCAATTGTTGAGGGTGAAACAGCAGAGGCATGGTTTTTCTTTCTACATTATCTCAAAAGACATGTTTGCCCTCAAGATGGCCTTTGCTTAATTTCGGACAGGCACGAGTCTATCAAAAATGCCTACGCTAGACAAGGCAGTGGTTGGACACCCGAGAATTCAGTGCATGTATTCTGTATTCGCCATATAGCTCAAAACTTCATGAGGCATTTCAAGAATACAGAACAGAAAAAATTAATCATCAATATGAGTATGTACTTAGCATCATTAATTACTTTAATTTGTTTCACCATATTTCAACATTACTAAATTGTTCATTTTTTCCTAATTTGATTTCACATCTTATGGGATAACTGAGCCAAGATTCAATTACTATTACAACACTCTAAGGAGCGAACCAGAAACTGAAGGTGTAATTGAATGGCTCGACACCATACCAAAAGAATAATGGACTCTTGCATGAGACGGTGGCCGACGATGGGACACATGACTACCAACTTGGCCGAGGCAATTAACTCCATTCTTAAAAAAACAAGAAATTTGCCAATTTCTGCAATCATCATGTCAACTTATAAGAGATGTAATGCCTTATTCATCCAAAGGGGGAAGGAAGTCGATGCTAAACTTAGGGCTGGCCAAGTTTATATGGAAATAATGAATAGGGCCATGAGAGATGCAGAATCAAAGGCTAATACTCATCATGTCCTCGAATTTGATCGTCACAGTACACGTTTTTTGGTGCAAGAGACCATTAACCCAAGGGAAACACGACCTACTGGAACTTTCACGGTTAGACTACATGACAACTGGTGTGACTGTGGAAAATTCCAAAAGCTACACATGCCATGCTCCCATGTTGTTGCTGCATGTAAGCATGTTCACCACGATTATAAATCTTACATAGATCCGGTATACACATTACAATATGTTTCAAATGTGTATAACGAATTATTTGGTGAACTGCCTAATGAATCTTATTGGCCGGATTGTGAAGAACCGCAAATCATACCAAATCCGGAAAAGATTAGAAATAAAAAAGGTCGTCCAAAGTCATCCAGAATACGCACTGAAATGGATATGGTTGAACCAGGACAACCAAAAAGATGTTCTCTCTGCAGAAATGTAGGTCACTCAAAGAAAAAATGTCCTTACCGTCAAGGAAGTTCAAGTCATCAACCTTAAAATGTCATCAAACCTTCCAAATATTGTATTTTGTTTTCTAGTATTTTATATAAATATTTTATCTTTTGTTAAATTTTTTAATTAATATTTATTTCATTACTTATTTAATTAATAATTATTTCATTATTTATTTTTATTCTAAAAACTTAACTAAATTATTTTATTTGAAAATACTAAAAAAATTTAAAAAACTGAATATTTAAAATTAATATACGAAAATAAAAAAAATTAGAAATCTAAATAAACAAAATCAAAAATAACAAAGAAAAAACAAAAACCAAAAACGAAAAAAAAAACAAAAAACAAAAACCAAAAACGAAAAAAAAAACAAAAAACAAAAACGAAAAGAAAAACCAAAAACCAAAAACGAAAAAAATAATAATAATAATAACGCTGTTGAGAAATCGGTTTCGTATCAACCGATTTCTCATTACACCTGTATATGTTTTATAAAAACTGAAGGTGAGAAATCGGTTCCCCCCAACCGATTTCTCACCTTAATTAGTAAATGGGTCATTTTGATAAATAAAATGGGGGTGAGGTTATTCAGAAAAATAAAAAAAAAAATTTGATATATTAAAAAGTCTATTATTATTTTTTCATTTTTATCTTTAACAATTAATATGTGTTTACTGAACAATGTGTTTATTCATTTTCAATGAACGTATTTCTTCTTCAACCACCCATGTGAAGTTATTGTTGCATTTAGAGTGCAACATATTTCCAATTTATAGGAGTACCTATTTGTTCCCTTCTATCTCTTTTACTTTCATGCTTAGCTGATATTCTTCTTGTCTTCTTCCTTTTTAAAGATTGAAATAAAAAATAAAAAATATAAAATATAAAAAAGGGACAATTATTTACACACTTTGAAGATAGTAGAAAGTCTTGATGAATTCGGAAAGAGTAAAAGACTCTATGGAACGAACTCAAGACTCTTTAACTTTAGAAAGGGTAGAAGACTCCATGGATGAGATTGAAGAATCTATAAATTTAGAATTGGTATAAGACTCCATGGAAGGGGTTCAAGACTCTCCATATTTGAAAGGGTAGAAGACTCACTCGATTTTGTGTTAATTAAAAATGATGAGGGATCCATAAATTATACACTTTTTATGGAGAAGAGAGCAACATTGGATATAGATTTAAACATTTCAGTTGATCATGGGTTTGATTTCAACATTTTTGCTAATTGAGAATTTGATCTGAATCAAATTCTAGAGGATGAATAGTAATCTTTTGGTGATTGTAACATCCTAAAATTCAGATACAATATTATTATATTATTCTTAAAATAGTAATTTTTTTTTTATATTTTAAGAACAAATAGAAAATAAGTATGATATTTTATAATTTTAATACATTAAAATTTTTATTGTCAAAATTTTTAGAAATTAAAATGGAAATATATAATATTTAATTATATTCAAAAATCCTGTTTATGATATCTATTATTTTAGAATAATATTTTAATTATAAATTATATATATAAATTATTACAATATATATATATATTGTAAATTTAATTTTAGAATAAACATTTGAATTATTATATATAAATACATATAAATAAATGCACGGATAAAACTAACTCAGAAATCTTATCTACATATTTCAAATGATTCCAAGTTATCTATACATAACTAAAATGAGCAAAAGAGTAGTGAAACTAAACTAATTGAAATCAATTTACCATTACATAGCAACTATGTAATCATTACCTTTCATGCTATAAATAGGCCTCAGCTGAGTAAATTTTGGAGACACAAGTGACGGAAGTAGAAAAAGTGAGAAGTAAGAAAAGAGAGAAGGAAGAGAAGAGAGAAAAAGAGAAAAAGAGCATAAAGAGAATAAAATTTTTACACAACTACCTCTTGATAAGTCTACATTCTAAGGTAAGGGGGAGGAGAACTTTATCTCTTCAAAATTTTATATACTATTATGTTTATTTATTTATGTTATTTTTATATATATTTATTTAGTGGGATGTCCCTAACCTCATTTATTTGTTTAACCTATGATTATTTTTATCCATAATAATTATTAAGGTGTTCATATTTTATATTGTTTAATTATTTTATAATGATTGTCATATTTATTTATATCATTGGTACTCTTAATATATTTTTTTTCACGTAAATATATTTATTGTAAATATATTTATAATCAACTATAATATAGTTGTGATATCTTGGACTCGCCTTGTTGTTATTTCTTCACATATTTATGAAGATAAATATTGTTCTATGGCCATAGAAGATAAAGTTTGAATTATTTGTAGCTGGAGGTTTGACCTTAAAGATTTAAATGAGTAAACATTTATGGTAAAATATCCTGTTTGATATTTGATTGATATTACAATAATGCTTATTTATCCTAACTAGTCACTAATCACTATTAAAATAATTCAAATTTTATTATAACAATAAAAATTTAATTTTTATGTTTACTATAGATAATCTTGTTCTTTATTTAATTAATTGTATTTATTTGATAAGTGTTCTCACTTCTTATTTCTTTTTGTGAAAAATTTAATATATCATAAAATAGATGGATCTACCGGCCATACCAGGTCCTTTTACCGTAGTTATCACTGCCGTTTTTCCGGGGGTAATTGGAGTGTAGACGCTATCTCCAACTCAGTCACGTTCCAAGGCATAGGACTGTCTTCGTTCATTTTCTTTCCCAATCAAGAAAATCCCATTATTATAAATGGACCTATTATAGTGACTTTCTTTTTACCACCAGCAAATCATGCAAATCCTATTGTAAACTTATTTCCACCACCAATTTAAAGACTATCGTAGTAGTAGTAGAAAACAAAATAATATGTAATGCATGTACTCTCAATAATAGTAGAATAATATGTAATGTAAATATTGGAAATAATAATGTAAGATATGAGTAGTTTATAATTACGTATATTATTGCAAATATTTTAAGGTCATTATAAGTCAATTATGTGTATGTGAGTTTGAAAATTTTCTTTTATTACTTATTTGTGTTCTCAATCTATATATATATATATATATATATATCTAGAAGTGGAACCACT